TTCGTTTTTTCTGATTTGCAAAAAAAAAAATTTGATTCTGGTCCTGAATCAACTGAAAAATGCTCATGTTTTGCCCCCAACAGTTGAGGAAAGTCCTTTTCTTCCTAGTTGTTACAGTTTTCCCATCTATCATTGCAGTGGTTTGATTAAAAGTTCAAAATTCAATGTTTAAATTTTAACCCAGCCTTTTGTGTTGACTTCATGGCTCATTCCATACCATTTAAGCCTATAATAGGATGCCTAGACCTGTTTTTATTTTTTTTTTTCGCCCTGTCGCTTCATATTTTTTCTGAAAAAATCTGAGAACCAACAAATTAAATTGGTGTGGCCTTATTAATATGTGTTGAAACCTTCAGCATGATGAAACAATGTCACCCTACATGTGTACAAAAGAAAAATTCCCATGACCTTCAGCTAAAAGTGGCAGCAAATTTGATCTTGAAGTAATCTAGATTGATTCCAAATAGATCTCTTGTCAACAACATTCCAGGACAGAACCAAACCCAACACCACACAGTCATCCATACCACAACACAGTGGGTAGTCCCATACCCCATTCAGCAACTGATACATGTACTTCCTTTCAACGGTAGGCAAGTAATTCTTATGGATGACATCAGCGAACGCATTTTTCGCCTGATTTGGGGGGGGGGGAGAATTTTTCTTGCCCTTTGACAGTGGTCAACATGTCTGTTGCCCTGCTGGAATGTTGATGGCAGATAAATATGAAGAGATAAGACAAGGCTCTGGTTTAATGTTTTGTCTTTTACTTCTGATGCAGTGATGTATTTCATTCCTTGTTCCCTCTGAATCAAAACCTGTACAGTGATTGGAAACTTATTTTTCAGTGACCAATGGCCATAACGTTAGCACATTATAGATATCATTTCTTGTTTAAGAAGGATGTCAAAATTTGAAAATATAGGACTCTTGTGTTTGGCCCACCTTGCGTTTTTTTTCACACTAATGCATTAAATTTCGAGTCTGCAGAGGATGTCATCCATAAAATTTACTTGCTGTGGCCTACATTGTAACACAACACAGTGGGTAGTCCCATCCCCCATTCAGCCACTGATATTTGCTTTCCACATGAGGGTTGCCCTTACAGCCACAGCGGCTAAATATACTGACCTACCGGAACACCAGACAACCCCAGTGCATACAGAAATCCCTGGCAAACTTTCAAAACAAACTGGCAGTCAGGAAGCAAAAGAAACACATGGGAGGAATTCTGATATCTGAAACTTGGCCCGATACATGTCCACTTTTCCAGGCCTGACTATTTGTTTACTACGTCGCCTTTTGTGCCCATACCACATACAGATAGCATCCCTCTCCCTTTTTAAGTGGTTCCTGGCCATTTTAGGTGTGGTTAGAAAGGATTTAGCTTGTTTGTTTGGTCAGCCCTATTGAAAGTGCTAGTCTGTGACCTTAAGTACAGTGCCCTTAGAATTTCCATTGGATCTGTACACCGATCGTTGTTTCCAGTAATCCACACAGAAGGCCATTTCAGAGCTTGGTTTGTGTTGGTGAATTTGAAAGGTACATTGAAAATTTCTTACTATAATGTTAATCTTTTGTTATAGATATTTTGTATGTTTGACATAGTTCATGTTGCTCTGTGACAAAGTTTCATTTAGTAGGGAGAGCTTGGTAAAAAGTTTGTTACAGCCCAAGATGTTAGGGAGTAATGATGCTTGAGGATTTTTGCAATTTAAAAGACATTTGGAGTCCCTTGTGTACAGCTGCAATTTTGAGATTGATAATTTCCAAAAGTAATGAATATTTCCTTGCACCATTTTCTTAAGTCATGATGGCCATCCATCATATTGTAAGGCTTTTTAAAATATTTTTAGCATTGGCTAAGTCAAAGTGTTTTAATTGTAATTCAGAAATAATACATATACACAGTTTGAGGTACATGTACACATAACTTTCATTCAGAATATGTGCTTCATATACTAGTAACATTAAAATTCAGTTTACGGATTTTGGGTACTGTAACAGTAGCCATGCAGTAGGCTTAACAACTGTAAGATTTTTTTTTTTTACAACCAGTGTACATGTTGTCAATATTATTTTGTATATTGCATGTTTTTACATTTGGCTCAGCTTGACCTTACAGGTAGCCTTGAAGTAATTCGAGTAACGCATTTTCTACACGGAGAACAGGTTTAAATAGTAAGTTGCTATAACAGCTGAGCCTGAGAACTATTGTAGAAGAATAAAGTCAGTCAGACAAGTTTTCCGGTGAGCCTACTTAATGAATCCCAGTGCAAATCTGCGCCCATTAAGAGCCCAGCTTACACCTGTGTACACTTGTAGACGATATCACTACAGGACCACTTGTGTCAAGAGGCTTTGAGAAAGGCTGTTCTGTCTTAAGACCACCTGATAAATGGCTGTCTTACATCCTTAAGAAGGCTTGGGGCATCTTAATGTGACAGTGATAAGGAAGTCTGTGGAAAAACATGTAATAAGACACTGGAGTTCCAGAAACAGTGTCTCAGTAAATTTAGACAATAACAGTCAAGTTTAATTTCAAGAGTATTGATAAGAGCTGTAGTACTGTGATTACCTAAAGTTTAATTTACTAGGGTTAAGTACATGTATTTCTAGATTTAGTATTCTTGGTGTCAAACATCTACTCTCATCTGCCAAATAAACATACGGGTACGTTTATTTTTTTGGGCCCTAACATCCACCCAGTACGTTCTTATTTTGCACAGTACGTTTATAAATTTTTTGAAAACCAGTAATTTTTTCAACTTCGTGTGAAAAAAATTGACAAATCATCGACGTGAAGACGTTTATAAACGCGTATTGTAGCGAGAAACTTGTCATTTTCGGGCCAGTTTTTGCAATCACCGCGTGCATAAATTCGCCTGAATGTTCTATTGTCATGAGTGGTGCTTATCAAAATACGAAATATTAAATGCCCCCTTTTTTTGTCTATTTCAATTCCTAATTGCAAATAACAGTTAAAGATTTGTGCATATATCAGTAAGGGCGCATTTTAGTACAAGAGACACAGGTTACCCGTCAATTTTGGTAATTTTCCGGGGGGTACGTTTATTCCAGGGGTATGTTTATTTGATTTTGAAGATTTGTCCGGGGGGTACGTTTATTCCGGGGGGGTATGTTTATTCAGCAGATGAGAGTAATACTTTGTGTACCAAAGGTTAGGCCTCACCAATTTAAATTGTTAGTTCTCAGATTTTTTCAGATAAACTTCTGAAGGGATAGGGCCAATAAATTTTGGGGGGCATTCTATGATCAAATACTGTAAGTCTCTTTAGATTCGCGGGGCCTAAAGTTCGCGGTTTCGGGAAAATGGACAATCCGCGGTATTTTTAGATTCGCGATTTCTCCTTGGCTATTTTTCAAACAAAAATTTGTAAAGTGTATATTTAAAATAATAAAAGTTCGTGTTCCGGCATCTCCTAAAACGCGGCGCAAAAATTTGTTTCGTGCACCGCGCGAGACTGCTGGCGGTAAAGCTGACGATCGATCTGACGCACGTGTAAACAATTTTCTTTGTTCGGAAATAAGCGCTAAAATGCTATTTTCCACGACTTTAACACATCGATACTCTAGTGAAGAAATGCATAATCGAAAGAATATATATATTACTAAGCAAATTTATGCCGTCTTCGGCGAGATTTTGAACCCGGAAGTATGCAAAGGTCGCCTTCGGTTTTGTAGGCCCACGGTGAGCGTTTCTATCCAACAAAACAAGAAGAAGAAAAAAACGCCCGCAAAGCAGGGCGCAAAAGATAACCAACTAACATTTCCCAGGTACAAGCCGTTATATTTTTCATAAAAATACTTGTAGATATGCCCGAAGTTCCCGCAATTTTCAAGCGCCCGGGCGGGCATGGCCGGCGCTCTGCAGGCATAGATTTTTTCGGCGGTACACGGTTGACACGGCCAGTGCCGCAGTATTGCGATTCGGTGTCTCATAATATTATAATTTTTTGACATCAGTATAACTTAAAAAAATTTTGGTACTCAACATTTGCTAAGAATAAAGTTGATTTGCAATGATTTGTGAATCGCGTGTGTTAGTGTTTCGCCGTCGTGAATGCATGTGGGGAGGGGGGCGTACTTACGCAAAACATATCCGCGGGGAAATAGATTCGCGGCACAAAGGTCCCCGCGAATGCCGCAAATCTAAATATACCGCGGAAATTTGTAGACTTACAGTACTGCATATATATAGATGCAACAAAAGGACTTTCTTCAAGTCAAACGATGGGGCCAAAATATGAGCATTTGATTCATGAAGTTGATTCATATCCTAGGTATACATTTTGTTTTTGCAAATTAGAAAAAATGAATGGGGTGAATCCGAGAACCATCAATAATTTGATTAAATCACTGTGGCCTTAATATATCTATGAAGTTTTTTGTGTATATTTTGAAGCATTTGTAAACGAAGGGACTGCATATTCCAACCAACTGACATTGTCATAACAGTTCAATATCAATTGGGAAGGTGACATCCATTAGTAGAGGTCAGAGGGAAATATGGTCCTACAGATCCATACAGTCATGTCATGTATGCTTACCATGTCTCATTAGCTGAGTGGAGCACGTCGGCAGAACGTACTGCACCTGCGCAAAACTCCCATTTTTCACGGTTTTCGTTGGATGTTTGGTCAACGTTGCATCAGAATTTTGCCTGTTGCAGACAATATTTTTTTCAACATTTAAATATTTGGAAACAACAGAGTGTTAACATTATATGCGTGAGTACGACCTTATATGAGGTGTTCTGCTGAAGTGCTATGCACAATACATTATACAGGTTTCACGCAGGTGCAGTACGTTCTGCCGACATGCTGCTGAGTAGCTTCATGCTCTATGGCAAATCAGGTGGTCTTTGGTATCTGACAGTATCTAGATTGCCAAAATATTATATTTCCTATTAATAGCAAAGGCAAGCATAGTTGGATATTTTGTCTTTATTACAGAAGATTAGAATATCATATCGGATTTTATTAAGAGAAACTTGTCCTCTTTATTCTTAATATAGGAATAGACATAACAGTTCTATATAATTCCATTTTTCCTTTAAAAAGTAACTGTCTGAAAGAGATACTGTAACATTCTGGAGAAAGATTCCCATCTTTTTCCACATTTTGGAAAAAGATTCGCCTTACAGTGTATATTGATACAAAACGTTAACTTAGCATAGAGGTTTAAACTTCATAATTGTACAATGATGAACAGCTTTGCCTGCTATAAGCAGTTTGAGTATGAATTTTCACTGACAAACTGCATTCAGATAATCTTGCCATATCTGTAATCACATCCCCCCTCTATCCAAGTGAGCCAGTCCGATCCTGATTACATGCCCTACACAGTAAAAGTTGATCTACAGCATAGACAAGTCGGCGACTTTGCCTAATGGATGACACAGATGGAGTTAGAGACTCGACCAATGCTGTTAGCTAGATTAAGTCTCTTCCGCTCTAGTTGTACGTAATATATTTTAATGTATGTAAGAATTTACGATCAAATCAATATCTGCATTTAAAAGAAAGGGAAGAGAAATTTGCCTCAATTTCAGATTCATCTCCTGAAGATATTCTGTAAGTTTACGTAGGTTATTATTATTATTATTTTATTATTATAATAAGTGTGCACATTTTATGTCGTGGGAAATACACGTAACAGTAGGAACAGATTTACAATTATAGCATATTGAGTTGATTTAGTGATATCAAATTCTTGCTTATAATGTCAGTGATATTGTTTGCAACCAGTTTCCCCAGTTGTACGCAATCCATTGTCTGACCTGTCAAACCTCCCCAGGGTTCAATTTGCGTCTCCTTTCCAAACAAGCCTTCCAAATCATCAATTACCGGTCTACATCATCTACAACAACCTTGTGCCCTCCGTGGGGACATCTGCAAACCTTTCTCGTGCTATTATCTCATTTCTTCCAAGATACATCCGTTTTTCGACAAGACAGCAGCTCGTGTTGTGAGCCCCATGAATTATTAACAGGGTGGCCATCTTCCAAACCAAGCGCGCTCTCTCTCTCTCGCACAGCTGCCTATGTGTATACAAGTTTGACCAAGCATTTCACATCCTCCTCTCTCTATTGTCGGTTCTAAGTAAACCCTGTGTGTTTGTGTAAGAAGCTGTTTTTGTTATAAGAGGCTATTGTTGTGCCCCTCTCTGTCAGGTTAAAGCAGCTACCCCCACGCCAGGCAAACAGAAGCCAGAGAAGAAAACACCTAAGTCAGCCCCACCAACGAGAGCTGCCCCTCCAAGACCTCGACCGTCTTCCGCTACGCCAACCGGCGCTAAGAGACCAGGTAAGGGATTCAAACATTCGCTTCTCTCGGATTCAATAAATCAATGCGAAATCTAGCAGATTCATCTAAATTCCTAGGCTGTAAGGCGATGTAAATTTTATGAAGAGCAAATGGTTTTAGCGTTTTTCATTGATTTTCACAAAAGGTCATGTATGGATAATGAATGGATCTGTGAGAATCATGTCATGTGGAAGCTGGATGTGAATTTGTCATGCATCAGCCAGTGGAGTGGAAAATAGTATCTTGTTCCTGTCAGATGGGAGTGAAATGATGCCTGAAACGTGTAATTTGGTGCAGAAATGATGTCCTCCTTTCCTCCTGTGTAATCAAATTAATCAGACCCCTGGAAAAGGGACTTCACTTTGGAATCGTCTGTCGTGAATTTGCAAGAAGAAAAATTTCCATAGTGAAGATGGTTTATACTGTCTAATATCACCATTTGATGTGTATTTAGACCATTGTTGTGAAATGTGCCTTTGATATTAAATAATGAAACACACTCATGTGCACCATTCATGCAACAGTTGCTACTATCCCTTGCTAGCCATCGAACATTACAGTCCAACATTTCCGCCCTTTGGACAGAATATCATGAATGATGGTAGAATTCTGTTAACGTTGCACTGTACCAAATGCCCTTCATGCATATTACCTCAAAAACACCCTCATACAACATAGAGCCTTTAATACAGCCCAAACCAAATGCCACTCAGACTGTTTACATACGGTAAGAGGATAGAATCAAATCATTTTCCCTGTACATAGCATACATGTATGTACTGGTAACAGCTATCTATATTTTTCAATTTTGTCACACCGTATACTACCAATATTTTAGCAGGCTTTGCTTTTTTTGTGCACAGCGAACATATTTTCTGTCAGCACATGTTAGCTCCCTACTGTCGCGATGATGGTTCCAGCTTTATGCAAATTCTGTGACAAGAGGCTACCCACTGGGGTTTTTTCCATCACACAAGGACTATACAAAATACTTCTTTTTTAACCACGAGATGATAACTGTTATTACTACTACCTTTTACATCCTTCTTCAGAAATGCTGTAACGTTTAGTGCAATTTTCTTGGCAACAGCAGTGGACATAAATCTAGATGCATTCAGTGCCCTTTTGTGATGCATAAAAGCATCTGTTGTGCATCTGTTATGCCACTGTCAGATGCTGGGATATAAAGTGGTTTACCTCAGTGTTTTACTATCTGAATTATATTTTGTTGGCTGAGCCTATTCCATTAGGTCATACCATACTCTAAAAAAGTCTTTTAGATTATGTTTTTAATTTGTTATAATTAGTAATATTATATTACCCCTAACAATATTGATTACTAGTATTATAAATGCCCCAGGGTTTTTAAAAAAATGCCAGCATACTGTCAGAGAGTAAACCATTCTCGTTTCATCAGTGCTTGTCTATTGAGTTCTAGTTTAGTTGTTTTTTAGTACATTTTTGTACTTAGTTCATTTATTTGTTTTGCTACAACAGAAAGGTGCCCATTCCAACCAAATGTTGTTCAGAAAAGTCAAGTGTTGTAAGATTTGTTTTCCCATTTTTATACTAGTGGCACATTCAGAAATTTCATTTCTCCAAGCATGTTAGGAAGATACCATTACCCAATGTGCTACCCAATAACATCATCTCTGTATCATTAACTGCATCCATACATGTCATAAGCCCTTCTCCCAATACATTATATTTACCAAATCACATCAAGCTACCCTAAAACTCTGTCAATGTTTACCCCTCTCATCATCTCTTGTTCAAACCCTCCTTATATACATTGTCTTTTCCAAGTGAGCCCTAGAAGAAGGATTTTGTCACTCTGTGCTGTCCTCTCCTTTTCTTCTTTATCTGTGGTTTTTTACTAGCCGCTGTAGCTAAGACTCGAGATAGAACAAGGCCGGGAACAAACAACGCAGAGAGGGCTACCAGGCCAAAACAACTCAACAGACCCAGAGGTATATTTCTGTGGTGTTGAAGCAAAAACTGATTTTTTTTTCCACAACTTGATAAGTCAATGACCCCATCCACTAAACTAAACAAATGACAAATGCACATCTTGGCCTTAGGCCACACCAAGTAAATTTTATGGATGACGTCCTTTGGAGACCCTAAATCTAATGCGAGAGGGCGAAAAAAAACAAGAAGGGCCCTAAAAAACAAGATGCCTAGATTAGGAATATACTAAGAGACGACAAATGTTAGGACACAAATTGAATGAGGTGACACAGTGCAACAAGCAAGAAGTCTTATTCATCATCAAAACAGCAATAAATCCGGTGAAACAGCAGTTATCGTCCTGTCCTGTTTCTTTCATCACATTTTTGCAGGCCTGCAGAAACAAAGCATGTGCTCTTTACCCATTTCGCGTTACGGGGTTCACGTCAATCTAACGATTTGCGGCACTGTCGTGACTCTTTGGTCATAGTTACAGGAAGCGGGATTTCTTGTTTTTTTTTTCTAGGAACAGGCCAAAATCAATGCGCGCGAGGACGTCATCCATAAAATTTACATGGTGTGGCCTTAGATTAATTGTCATTAAATGCACCACTCAAGGTGTGAACACAGGTGCACACAAATTTTTTGTTACAATGTGAAAGAAAAAAAATCACATCACAAATTGTCACATGTGGATTTAGTCCATCTTGACAGGAATATGCAATTAAAGAATTTGTCCAAATTTTTAAATGTTTTGTTGCTAGAAAACAACAATGCTATGTGCTTCAAAACTAATGTTTAATTGACCTGGAGTTTTAAGTAGCTCTCAGTTTGGTGAATACATACATGTACTATTAGCCACTTGTATCAGACATTTGGTAACAATGCCAAGTCAAACTAATTGAAACCCTACACAAGGCACCTTCGCACATAGTGAGAGCTACATAGAAACAGGAAAATATACATACAAAGATTGGGTGAGTTAACTTTATTGTCCCAGAAAAGTGCTCTAAATAGACACATCATAATTTCTCTCTCCACAGCTGAAAAGAACATTTGTACAATGGCAATGTGTTTTGCCTTTTTCCCGTACTAATTTTTTTAAAGGTAATGCTTGAAAGCACCTTCCAGAGAACACTTAAAATGCCTCTTATTCTAAATCACCACAATTAGCTGTGTACTAAAACTTGTCGTCTACACCAAGCAATTCTTAGCAGGCTTAGGTTGTCCAGACAGTATTAGCCTGAAGTATTATTGCTGTCAGTTGAATACTGTAAATCAATTTATGTTTGCAGTAGCAAATGTTTGCGGTCTGAGAAAAATGGACATGTTCGCGGAAATATACATTGTACAGTCATGTACATCCGCAGTGGCATCAGGTATAGCAAGAAAAAAGTCGGTGAATTACATGTGTATTTGTTCACGGTAATGATAAGTTACAGTACAGTGACAGCAAAAACGACAAATACAAAAGCACCGGGAAAAATTGTGATATACATGTACAGTACTGTTAGTCTGTTCGCATTTCAAGCAGAAAGCACTTTTCACTATACATGTACATACTTTTGGGGCAGAGTAGGGAAAAATTGCAATATTTGTCAGCATTAAGGGGTCTGATAGGATTATACTTACAATGTATTTTCTATGCTATCATAAATTGAAGTCAGAGATAGCATAGGTCGGGCCTATCCCCCTTTTCTGTATGCAGGCCACATCCGTATGAGACCTAATCAGACACTGCCCCTCCATCACAGGACAAAGCTAGACAGGGATCCAACTAGAGTATCAAATTACCAAAGCTTTCTCCCTTATTTGGTGCTCATGAGGGAGAAAACTAATTAAGTTAAAGCCAGGCTGGACTGGTTGGAACAGGTCTGAGTAGGATTTCATGCCATTCTGATGATACTATTAAGAAATTTCTCCATGGCCACCCTGAATAGATTTCATCAAGACCGATTTTTCTTTACAAAAAAAGACATAATGATTAAATTTTGCACATTTCAAACTGCTTGAAAGGGATGTGAAAACATTATCCCAAAAAATAACATCAATTTCGCATTGACTGTGTTGATAAAAAAGTAATACTATGTAACAGTTGTGCTTAGATCCAAAACAAACAAAAAACTCAAATGTTCATATCTTTGTTTGCCTGGTTTCAAAATATATTTCTTTCCAGATTCTTAATAACAAGTATTGATAGATACAAAATTAGACAAAGTGCCTAAAGGCTACCACTATGACAGCAGTAAGGTTGTTAACATGAAATTTATGTCAATATGTATTCATGACACTTCTATTTACTTATAATAATAATCATACTCCTTATGGATGTCAGTTCAGCACCAAGGAGAAAACCGTCCTTTTTTCAGCACGTCAGCAGAACGTACTGCACCTGTACAAAACCTCCATTTTTAACAGTTTGTATTGGATTTTTGGTGAACATTGCATCAGAATTTTTCCTGTTGCAGACAATATTTTTTCTGACATAACATTTAGAATCTACAGAGTGTTAACCTTGTATGCGCAAATACAACCTTATATCACGAGACATTCTACCGAAGTGCTGTGCACGATACATTATGGGTTTCGCACAGGTGCAGTACATGTACATTCTGCCAACATGCTCCTTTTTTTCCTATCTTCTCAGGCCATGTGAATTAAGCTATATTAAGTAATATTTCAAGAACTACATAATATATTTTAAGTTCAACATACTACTGTGTGGTAGATTTTGTTATGATAATCCACCCTTTTTCCTTGTATCACAATGGATATAAAGTTTCTTGTAATTTTTCTCTACAATTGTGTGCTATCTTACTAAAAAAAGTGTAGAAGAAACTTCTAGAATTTCATTAGTATTCGTAACATATGGAAAATGTGCATAGCTAATCCTAGTTGGCACCGTGCCAGTTGATTTCCCCCAAAGTGTTAATGAACATCCTGGCAGTTATTAACCTTACAGGTGACCCAGCAAAACAGTGCCTGCTCTGTTGGTCTTGGATGTGGGTACAATCTGTCATGCAAATTAGGCCATGTTGATTTGATTATGTGGATGACATCCATGTACGCATGAATTTTCGTCCGTTTCCAAAAAAAATGTTTTCGACCATACTATAAATTGTACAAAGTACAAATGAAGGCAACTTTTTTTTTGCACGCTCGCATCAGTTTTGGGGTTCCCAGAGGATGTCATCCATATAATCAAATTAACATGGCCTTAGCTGAAGACAATACTAGTTATTTAGGAGGCCTCTTGTATGAGTCATACCTATTGTCTAAGAATGAATTCAGTAAAGATCTTGCAAATTGTCTTTATGACACAAATATGTTTTTATTCCCCTTTGACTTTGGTGACCCAAGAAACTTCTTGCCTGATACTTGAAAGATGTCCAGGCGTAAAAATACTTAATTAAAATTATTCACTAAGGAAACTATAAATTGTATCTTAATCTAAATTTGAGCAAAATGTATATTTTTCTATGTACATTAACTCCTTTATTACAGTCTACAAACATGTTAATTTGTATGTAAGAATGAAACGTAAATTATATGAAATTGTCTTGTCTCACTTTGCCCGGAGTGCATTCAAATTTACACATGTACAAATATCTCTAGATCTACTCAGGTGACTATATTCCCATGTGAAACACAACAAACGTGAACATCTGTTAAGATATGCCGCTGACCTTTGACATGACCTCTAAGTGCACTCTGGGCAGATGTTAGTGATGATGACATGGCCCCAGAAGGCCATCCAATCTGTGCGATGCCATCTCTTGTCATCTGTCGCAGCGTATAACTTCGCTACGCTATGACTAGTCTTGGCATGAACTTCTCTTCGTACAAAGTTGACAGAGCAGAAAGGCGCCTCGCATAATACATACTGATTTCTTAGGAGGCTGTCTTGGTTGTCTTAGTCTTGTAAGCACAATGGATCCAGAGAACAATCCTTCTGCACTTTTTTCCGTTACGGGACCGATGCATGACCTCTATAACCCGTCTACTTGGCCTTTCCTAGCCGACAAGAAGAAGCCACCAGAGAAGCCTAAGCCCAAAGCGGCGTCACCACGAAGTACGTTGTTGTCGTGTGCATATGTGGTTGTACGCTTTCTGTGTGTCGGTGTTGTTGTAGAGTGTCGTGGCTGCGCAGATGTGTATGTGTGCCAGTGATGTGTCCATGGCTTGCACTTGGGTGAAGCTTGTTTATTCTGTTCTCTGCATATCTTGTTTGGAGCTTTAAATGCATTTGCTTTCCAGTCAGGCTTTCAGTTTACCGGTGGCATTTCAGACATAAGTCATATATCAAATACATGTATGCTGTGCCAGGGCAGGAAATCAGACTTGAAGCAATAGCATGTCCACCATAATGTCACCCTTCTTCGAGCTATTTGCTTTATGTTTATGCTTAATGTTTCATCACATTTTCTTAAAGGCTTTTGGCGCTAAATTGTTCCCTACTTTTGTAAACTTGCATGTCAAAGGTTCCTAGCCATAATTAACGTCATTTTGCCCTATTTTCACGGACTGAATCGTAAGGCCATTTTTCTTATCCGCATATTTGCTGCCGTGGATGAGGTGGAGCTCGTTTTTGTTGCCATGACAACTTATGCTAATTAGCAGTTGCTTCGATTCCCGACCGTTGATCACTGTGTGCTGCGATGCTTTAGTGAGCATGTCCAATTTTCCACATGTGTGCTTGCAGACGACATTATACCATTAGGTGCTAACTGTTGGCTTTCTGTTCTTCCATTCCTCCCTACTTTGTATTCTCCATTGTTTGGTTACGCCCCATTATCTCGTGATTTGGGGAATTTCAAAGCTCCAAAGACTGATGACAAGACTGCAAAGCCGCCAGCGCCAAGGAAGCCAAAGGACGTAAAGGAAAAAGTTCAGAAGAAAGTCGCGGAAAAGAAACCTCCCACAGCCGCAAAGGCTGCTAAACCTGCTAGTAAGGAATTGTGCCGTGCGATTATCTGGATTTTTGCAATTTTGGGTAAAAGCGGTTAAACTTGAGATCCGTCATGAGTTGGGAGTTTGGTTTAAGGGGATCTTCAACTCCTCCAAGAACACGTAGGGTCATCTTTTCATTCTTCTTTGTGTCTTGCATAGAATAAGAGAGTGCATGCTCATGGCTTTTATAGACTCTGAGTTGTTAGATGTGATGTTTTCTGCTTCTGCAGTCATGTCCTGACAAAATGGTGTGTTTTGTACTGTTTGTACTGTATGTTTTCTGGGAGGATAAGAAAATTTGGGGGGAGGGGTGAAAGAAATGGCAGCCACATCAGGTTGAATGTTGCAATTTTCATTATCTGAATCCATGCAAATAGTGAAATATGCAGGTAAGGCATCTCTTCTGAATGATATGGTACATCTCATCACATTTGGTTTAAATGACTTTTGTGCCATTCATTGAATCAGTTATCAGTATAAGAATTAAAATCAAAATTAGGCATTTTATTCTTATACAAGAGTAGGCAAACCATAAATTAATGTTTACTAACATGATCTGCAATACTAACTCTTCTTTTTCTCTCTTATCCCTTTTTCTTTCTACTTTCTTTTCTTCCCATCAACTCTTTTATTTCCTTCTTTGTCAACTTTTCTCCTTGTGGTTTTGGTTGGGTTCTTTTCACAATTTTAAAGCTGAGAAAAGGGCGCCCAAACAAAAGCCCAAGAAGCCTGAGCCTCCTCAAAACGACAAGGTGGAGCCCAAGGAAAACAAAAGTAGGTTCTTGGAAGATGTTGCTTACATGTAACCTACATTACTATTTATCCCACGGGTTACATATGTCTGTCACTTTAAAAAACAGTGTGTTTGAGAGATCTCTAAGTGCATAGTTTAAATACATGTATGCAGGAGTTCATTATATATACTGGGTGATGTTACATTGAAGATGTCTTTATAATGCTTTTTTTTTTGTACAGGTTATGATGCAAGTGTCCAGTTCATATTTTGCTTGCTTTGACAAAAATTGAATACTATATTGCTACTATAATAGGTCAATCCTGAAATCCTGCTGTTATACAGTACTATTGTGACAGCCATGCCTTGCCGTACATTGTCCGTGACTCCTGGTCAAAGTTTAAGACTATTGCAGTATACATGTATGCAGGATGTGAATGCAGTATACTGTGATCATGTACAATACATAATTATAGATCCAGCCTATGGTACCGATCATCCAATGCAATTTCATGATTGTGACAAAATAGATTATTATATTCTAGATGAAGAAGTCTGTCTTATATTATATTGACATTTACTGCCATTTCTTAGCACATTTTCATCATACTTTCATGTATCACTTGAATCGTTTAAAAAAGCACCAAAACAAGTTATGTGAGGCTTCTTTTTATTTCTCGGGTACTGCCAAAATGCATTGTAAAGTCTTGAAATTGAATGCTGAGAAGCAAGGAGGTTAAAAATCTCTTGGTTTAAGTCTATGCTGTTATCACTAGCAGACAAAATGTTTTTAAGAATTTTAAGTGATGGTACATTTTCAAACAAAGGGTATTAATTGAAAGACATGAAGGAAACATGCCTGGAAAAATAACATTTTGCTAATTAGGAAGAGACATTTTGAATGTATTTTTTCTTCCACTATTGGTAGTGTTAGATAAACTCACCAGGTCCTATATCACATTAGTACATATTTGATAAGGAGCAGAGTTCTAAATCCAGTCCAATGTACTGACTTTGGTCTTGACATTGGAACATTATGAGAGAATATGACGACTTTAATTTATGGGCATGGTTTTGTTTTGATGCATCGCATTTTATTTGACTGTTGATCACCTTTTGTTGCTTGACTAAATGTAATCATATCTTGTCCTGAGTAAATGTATGCTGGGCCCCATTGGAAAGCAGCTTCTACTAGCTGAATGGGCTACCCAGCTGTTTTATGATGAAAAAAAAAACAAATTTGTTTGTTTTTGGTAGAAGAGGCTCCGGGCACCCCCAACAGTCGTCCAAGCTCGACCCGGAGCAGCGGCTCAATGCCGGACACAAAGAAGGTCAAGTCCAAGATTGGATCAACCGCCAACATACATCACAAGCCAGGGGGCGGAAATGTAAGCTACTTGACTCATCAAAACTTTTCTTACTCTGCCATTGTTTTATATGGTATTGTAACTATAACACTGACAAGCAGCCATGTTCTCTTATAATGACAACAATGCCCAATGGCTTCTTTCAACCAAAGAATATATTTCATATTCATGTGATCCAAAACATAGCTCAATAATCTATCGTCTATCATATTGTATCGAATTAATATTCAAGGTACAAAATCTCAACTCTTTGCATTGTTTATGATTTTAGTTTGTAAGTAACCCACGTGATATTATCTTTTTTTAAATTATCTGCCTGGAGACTAGCAAACAATGGTTATGAATTTGAAAAGGTGATGTAAAATATCATCCACAATTACTAGGTCACTAGACGATGTGTTATTCTTATTGTTTATGGCTCTTTTGGGAGTATCTATATCTACTCACAACAAAATAACATAATCATAATTAAATAATATTATAGACATATGGGTCTCTAATCTAGATTCTAAAAGAAAGTCAGAATTGGTGTCAGTTAATTCAAAGACAAGTCCTCTTTTTTTCGATGTAAATTTTTTTTAAATGTGAATTTGAAATAAGATTCACCTGTGTCTTGTTTTAAGGTTCAGTGTGAAAGGTCTTTGTCTTTTACAAAAGAATGGATCAGTCATTCATTTTGTCAGAAATATTCCAGCTAATTTGAAGCTTGGGTGATTATGTTGTGGGTAATTACATCGGTGTCAAGCAGTGTGGCACCAGCCATTTTACACAACGTAATCCACACTTAACCAAATTACAGACAGGTAATGTTGCAAGACTCCTAGCGCTTAACTCTGTCCATGCAGAAAGAATATTTCAGACGGAGGTGTCTTGTTTCTAGATAGGAAAGAAGAGCTGGTCATTAATTTGTTCTTTTATGGAATATTTCAAGAACATAGCTTAAGTGTTCATGAATTTATTTGCTGTTTTTATGTACTGCATACATGTATTTCAACATTGAAACTGCGGTATTGAGTCTATTGGATATTTAGTAGTTTTAGGTCTTCTAACAATGTAACTTCACACCAAGTGGTAGTTAACTTGATGTTAACTTGGTGTTTTCCCACAACTTCAATTCAATGAACTGTGTGGCTGTACATCTGTATGGGTTTAAAAGGGTTTGTAGTTGTAGGGCTATCTGTATACAAGTAACACTCTAGGGGTAATCGGGTAGGAAAGGTTAAAGGTCAAGAGCTGAACAGCCCTCTTCCATGACCTCTGTTCTATCAGGTGCCAATCTTCAGTGACAAGACAGATTACAGCAAGGTGTCATCCAAGTGTGGCTCAAAAGACAATATAAAACACACTCCTGGAGGCGGTAATGTAAGTACAAGAACACCCAGGGTTAGAAATGACACTTGTTGTTCTTGGTACAAAAAAAGAAAACAAATTTCGGATGTATTTACCAGTCACAGATGTATTAAACCCACAGGTACATTGAACTTACTTCAAATATATGTTAGATATAGTTTGAAGAGATAAAGAGGTTAAACAGATACAGGTTTAGTAGTTTAGAGAACAATAAATTGGAGCCAAATTCCCACCTTATTGGCAACTGAGCTGTCATAATGCATGATCCTCTCTGTTTTACTTGCTCCATCTATCATTACTGGAAGGTACTGCATGCTAGACGTAAAATTTTGTTACTCCTGAAACATCACAAGTCATTGCATGGTCTATTTTTGTGAACTCACAATCTATCTCACAATCTATTTAGCAGCACAAAACAGTCAAAATTTATTTACTCTATGCATGTTATTTTAGACCTACACGTATCTACCTCCTTTCACAACTGTGTCTTATCTAAAAAGTAATAATCAAGTGCTCTTTTGATGAGAAAAAAGACAATGAGAAGTAAACTCAACACTTCTTGTGTGGTGTGTGACTAACGAACCAAAGTTTCCTTTTTTGCAGAAGAAAAAAGATTCTTGGAGACAAAACAACAAAGATCTGATGGAAGGTTTTGATCATAGCAGGACAGGTGCATCATCGCTGAACACAGTATCTTGAATCAAAACTTTTTTATTCTTTTCTAACAGGTTGCGATCACCCACGTCAAACAAGACTTTAGCAAAGTTGGATCCAAATGTGGTTCAAAGGATAACATCAAGCACTCTCCAGGGGGAGGGAATGTAAGTGAAGGAACAGCCTGTCCATCATGGCTGCCATAAGATTTTGTTATTTTTTTAACACCTTCAACAATTTAGTAGTTATTCAGTTTAAAATGGGTGCGATAAGACTTCTTCTTGCTCAAATATTTTGCATATATCAAATTTAACCATAAACAAATCAAAATTTTTCATGACAGAACAAGGTATGGATTACAGCAGAACAACAATGTAAGGTGTCATTACATCCTATCTGATTCATTGGATTCAATATACTAGTACTAGTAGTCATATTTTTCATAAATCATTGTCATTGAATTATCACCTATTGGAGTTCATGCAGTCAGTCACTCATCAGGTCTGCATATTGCAATTATGTTTTATAATATCAGACACGTACCTTTGTCACCAGTGAAAGACATTTTAAGAAAAGAATGTCCTAGAGACATAGCCAAAAATCATTCATAAATCTAAGCAGCCAAAATTTCCACTTCATCAGAAATCAGAATAGCTAAGAATTAATACTAACTGAATTGTTCATGCTATTAGAAATGTCAGGGTTTGAAGGACGTTTTCAATCACATGTAAGGCATACATTGTACCATGTGCAATTGTCGTGCAATAAAGTTCTTCTGTAAGGCATGTGCATGATTGTCCTAAAGTTTAATCATTTCTTCAGATTCCATCAGACTTGGGATGAGTTTGATGCAACTTATTGAGGAATGACTGCTCAATCTCAAGTTTTACCCATCATAGCATGTGTTGACTACTTGTGTGCTCCCATTGGATAGTTGTTTGAATATTCCTTGTCACTGAATAACTTAACATCATTGGAGGTTTTATAACACTGACATGCATATGACTGTCGCAGTTGTGCCAAGTGCCAAAATTACTTCTTAGCTGACAACTACTGGTACATACATGTACATTGTACATTCTCCTTCTTATTCAAATTGTTGTGTGCTTGTCCCTTCATGTTGTTATGAATGTGCTGTCACAGTGACTGTGTGACTGCATCATCCAGCCAAATACAATGCTGGGTATGCTGCATGCTTGCTTGCTTGCAACTAAATGCTTGCAGCATGGGTGTCAGTGTGTGCCACCATATTGCATGACTGTCCTAACGTTCCATGCTTGCTTTCATATCATTTGCTTGCTTCATGCTTTTCATGCTGTAGGTTAAAATTACTGAGGTTAAGCAGGACTACAGTCGAGTGTCCTCGCGCTGCGGCTCCAAGGACAACATAAAACACACGCCGGGTGGCGGCAACGTAAGTGCTTTGAAGCATTGCTGTGGCAAGTTGAAGCTGCTTCTCTTTGGCTCTGTGGATTGGGACAGATCTTTCTAGCTTAAATCATCCACTAGCTGTGGCAAGTCTGGCGACTTAGACTTACTTCATTGCCCTCACAAGAGTAGTGGAAAGCGCCATTGCCAGGACCAAACATTTCCTATTGGCTACACAGAAAACTGCCACAAAAATGATAGTTTTCCATAATTTTGCCCCAAAGGGGATGCTAAGTTTACTCTAACAGCGGCCTAAACTTGTAAACAAAGATGGGGGAATCTGAACGCCAATCTGTCCCAGTAGTGTGGACAGCGGTATTCGGCAGAATCGGTTGCGCTGTGGAATATTTAGGAGAATTCTGAACACTGGCAACTGTGGTGTAAAATTACAGGGATGCTTGGGACGCTTAAAAACAGGGATGAAAACGGACCATCGCGTAGCCAACAGGAAATGTTCAGTTCTGCCAATGGCGCTTTACACAAGTCTTGTTAGCGCAATGAAGTAAGAGTCACCGCGGCTAATCGTCCACCTTGTCTTTGCACAGGCACTGAATGTCAAATAACAATCATACAATGTACATATGTGAAAGATTTTTTAAACAGACCTACACGTACATTGCAGTCTCTGTACATACATGTATTTCGCAGTTACTACATGTACATCCACATTATACATAAAAGGCAACGCATGATCATGCTTTGTTGACATTGTTTTTCATTGACTGTTGAGCTGTCGAAAGAGGAACAACTCCAGAAGTAAACCTCTGTAAATATAATTTTAAAAAAAATTAAAGGCATGCTGAAAATTCTAAATCTGAAAATCTTGCCGACACTTATTTGGTCAAAGTAATACAAGTGAAGAGTGATGTTAATTTTTAAGTAGATCATTTGAGAGCAAGTTGAGAACAATTGAAGAAAATCTTTTTGGATCACTGTTTCTTCCAGATCTGTCTCAAACTGCATTTTTGTGTTCCTTTCTGAATTCAGTTAAGTTCAGTCCTATGTTTTAACTTTCTGTTCTCAATGATCTCTCTCTATCATCTATTGATTGATTTTACTTATCATCCTTTCAAGCTTACCTACAATCAGTGGTCGAAATACTTTTGTTCAGTGTTCTGCAATATTGCAGAAGAGTCAAAATTTTGTTCTGCAATTTGGAAATACTTTCTGCAAATACACAAGCCTCTATACTACAATCTTGCAAGTTTATAAGCATGAACTATTGGTTGATATGCAAATTAGTGAAGACAAATTTTTGGAAGTCCAAAAGGAAACAAAAGATAGAAAAGTCAAGACAAGGTTGATGTAAATTAGTGAAGAAGCTCCTGTTGTTTCAGAACAGGAACTTAAGTGTTGTCTGTCCTTGGGGCCAAGAGCACCAAATCCCAAGTGCCAATTTTTCGTGCTGCAAAATTGCAGATTGTATAAATTTTTCTTCTGCAATCTTTGAAATCTATCTGCAGATTGCAGACTGCAGACAGGTATTTCGAACACTGTACGATACTGTGCCTATTTTTAGCAATTTTTATGTTTCACATGGCCCTCATTTGCAAAGAAAATGTTCTGATATCAGTGGATGAAGAAGACTGAACTCTATTATGACTTGGTGAAAACCTACAATTGTAGTTGGCTATGTTTATCATGTTGTTCTATGTTTGAACATCTAGCAACCTATAATCCTAACCCCTTTCTGTTATTATAGAACTACCTGTCAAACAATTCCTGTAGTCATGACCATGTTATTTCATGTCACCGCTTTACCCCCATGTATTAGGTAAAGATTGCAAGTGCAAAGGTTGATTTCACCAAAGTTGGATCCCGCTGTGGATCCAAAGACAACATAAAGCACACCCCCTCTGGTGGAGACGTACGTTTAGACCTGCCCAAACTGAAGTTTTTCTATCATCTTTAATAGACCAGTTTATCTTTCAGGGATCGCAAGAACTGCTTACGTCACAGGGGGGACATTTTGAATGGAACGCCATTCTACTTCTAGCACCGGAAGTTGAACACGGCTTTTACTTGCAGTATCCCCCCTGGCAGATCACTGCGATGGTCTGTAGTCGGGTATCTGGTGAGATTGGGTAGAAGGAAATAGGGGATAGCCATCCTTCAGTGAAGTATCGATTAGCTTTAGACTCCTTGTACTGGCGCAGGTCAAGAACTTTCAGAAATTAATCTAACACACGTCGGGAAATCTGCCAGGGGGGACAATGCAAGGGAAAGCCGGTTCTAGAATAGTGTTCTATTTGAAATGTCCCCCCTGTGATGTAAGCAGTTCATGCAATCAGTGGAAGGTAAACTGGTCTATTACACCACTTTATTTTCAACTCTAAATCTGCTATATTATTCAGTTTTACTCCATTTTTGTTTTATGCTTTCCTATGATTTTATTTATTTTTTCTTGCCTTTCTGTGTGTGTGTATATATACATGTGTGTGTGTGTGTGTGTTTTCTTATGACTTCGTAGTGCATGTGGCTGGAATCATTACAGGATACATGCACTGTAGAACCATGGGTAATGTCGCCAAGACACCATTGCTGCCATGATTGTTTATTACAGGGTTAAGCTTTTATGTTTTTTTTGTCCATTCATGTGGTCACCTCTACCCATGCACCAGGTAAAGATTGCGAGCGTAAAGGTCGATTACAGCAAAGTTGGGTCTCGATGTGGATCGAAGGACAACATAAAGCACAGTCCAACCGGCGGAGATGTGAGTGCATCAAAACAACACACGCGAAAAAAAGCATTCTGTGAAGTGGTCTGGCCAACATACATGTAATTGTCAAACAATGCAAAGAAACCTCTGATCTGATAATATCTTAGACTTTCTGAAAGAAAAACAATCAATATTAATTAGTTAAACTTTGGTTTTGATATTGTTTTTCTCTAAAATGTCATAAACTCTGGTCAAAGCCAAAAATGTCTGTGATGTTGATCATCTTTAAAATATTAACATCATTCTTTCAAATTTCAAGAAGATGTACAAATAAGACTGTACAAAATTAATATGAGCTCATTTTGGTTGTGGTAACATTTAAAAAACTACATACATGTACATAGGCACCCATCATTATGATTCCCTCTGCTACATTCAATTTGTACATGTAGATATTTGCCATCATCAGTTGCTATACATGTATACCACAAACCAACATCTCAAACACATTGGACTACATGTACAAATGAACATGTATTTCATGCTCATTGGGACTATTTTGGCCAGATAACTTCATCCTTTGAGCACGTTTTCCCAGCTTGATGACTTTCAGAAAGCTGTTCATGTATTCAGGCCTTGCTGCTGGCAACATGATCATCCATGGACTGACCATTTACAAAAGCATTCACAATGTTTTCAATCCTTCAAGTTTGGCTAACATTGCATGATGACAGAATCAACAGAATTCTAAAAAATTCTTTTACTGAAAATTCAACCTACATTGTAGTAACGTTATGCATTGACATTTTTGTGTTGCTGCAATTTTTGTGTTGCTACCAAAAAAAAACACAAACAGGTAGACTAGAAATCAGTGTTTTTCAAGTAGAATGCTTTCCATGGAAGGTTATGTTCTTTTTTACATCAGATTTTGATCATGCTTTGTCGATGCTTTTACATGATTATGTACATGTAAAACAGTAGATTTTGCTGTGTATTAGTCACATGCTATAGAAAGCATATTGTGTGCTTCACCATGCTTTTAGCCTATTGTCTTCCCTTGTGATTCATCCATGACACAATATTGTTTTTATTCATTGGTGCTGTTGAAATGTCTTTTATTTGCGTTTGAAAATTACAAGTTATTTCCAAGAATTTCCAAATTTGAAAGATGGGTCTTTGCAGTATAACAATATTTAGCACAGAACTTACAAAAAGTAAATCCAGAGTATCTATTATGTAGATACTTTTAAAAACAGATTCTTAAGGTTATGACAGAGACATTGTCTAACTTTTGTCTTTGTTTGACATTTTGATTGATAAACAACATGATGTCACATTATAGCATGTCCCTTTTCATGTCTTCATTTTACAATACACATATTTTGCAAAAACTCAGCTAATAAAAAACTTAAACTGGACATGTGAACCACTTCAGTTTGCCATGTTCAATAGTCAACACAAAATTGAAAGTTTTAAATTTTTTTAATTTGGTATTATTAGCAATATAGGACAAAATCGCTAAACATAGTACTTATAGAGTAATGACAGTCAAGACTCCGTCTATGATTCCCTTATTAGCTTCAAATTCAGTTGGGAACAAGTAAAATCTGAGATTTTATACCTCCGGGCTTTTATTGTATATTTTTATATAGGATTTTAAACAAAAAATTTATCGAGACCGGACACCCCTCTGTGTGTGGGGTCATATACGTGGACCAGACCGAGAATAGCTTAAACACGCCAAAGGTCAACGGTCGCGACCACTTTCACGTTAAAAGGGGTGTTTTGGGGCCACCAAAAGGTACCATTTTCACGCCTTAAAACACATATACAATAAAACAAAAGAACGTGCATCATCTGCAGCCCAATAGCAAAACATGTACCGACTCTCAAAAGAATCCGTCGACCCAAACGCGAGAAACAGCTGCGAACATGAAAATCTAAATCTCTCACAAAACCCTTCCGCGGAAGGATGTCTCCTCCCCCGGAGGTAAAAATCTATACTTTGGATTTCTTTCAGGTACCAGCAAAGTGGCTGTGTCATCACCAAGAGTTGGAATAATAATATTAGAATTATATTTTTATTACTTCTACAGGGTGTGCATGACCACTGCTTCCCTTCATCAGATTCTGCAGCCAAAGTTTACAAAGCAGTCAACTAAGGAGAATGAGAATTGAACATTGATTTTGCAGTTAATAAACTATGCTGTGATTCTTATACCCTAAAACTAGGTGAGGATCAAGCACAAGAAGCTGGATTTCAGCAATGTGCAGTCCAAGTGTGGATCCATGTCCAACATCAAGCACAAGGCTGGGGGAGGACAGGTGACATTTGATCTCTGACCTTCCACATTTTGTTTAGAATATTTCACTCATGGGAGAATATGATTATTTGTTTTTAATACCAACACTGATAGCAAGTATTCAATTAAATCTCAATCATGCACTGTCTCAGGCACTGTTGCTACAACCCCTGTCACACTTGGACAAATATGTCATCCCAAACACTGCCTATTGTGTAGAGTCAAATTTAACTCAAATTCAATTTGATCCATACAGAAAGGTAGGTGTGGCCTAACTCTGGTCAGTCCCAAACTTCAACCAACGAAAAACAATTACTGGAAGGACCTGGATTGATTTTTAGGGTACCCTGGTAGTCCTTCGTTATGAAATAAAGCACTCGTCTTGGGCTTGTTTCTGCAGTTTTAAATGCCAAAGGTATGAAATACTGATTAAAATGTGCTAATGTGGGACAGTATGTGTCAATACTATACAGATTGCCATATTCAGTAGTTATATTTCTAGTTTTGCCTCCCTGAAATTGCATTGGATGCCTTTAACCGGGTTTTCAGCACCAAGGAAAGGACATGTCATGTCTGAAACTTGTAATTCTGGTATCAAAAGCTGTAAGTTCTTAATTGCTCACCAAACAATTCTCTATGCAAATGTGTTTGCTTGACCCCATTCTCTCTTAAGTTTAACGTTAAGTTTTAATTTTGACCAAGTGAAAAAAAGCCTTTTATTTCATGTCATGTAGTGAATAAAAAAACTAAATGTTTACACAGGTGAAAATCGAGAGCCGCAAACTTGGCTTCAAGGACAAAGCCGCTTCCAAGGTCGGATCTCTGGACTATGTTGACCACAAGCCTGGTGGTGGGGAGAAGAAGGTATATATGATTTTTATGTAGATCAATTATTCTTCAAGCTTGATATTAAGTTATGATGTGCATGTTGTGTTACTTACACATGTTGCAGACTCAATGTTAAAAAACACAACACTAAACTACTACACAGATAGGACCCATCTTTAACCCATCATTAACTTTGGCTCACAACTGAGCTCTTGTATTCAAGTTGGCTAACTGGTTTACACAGCCATTCCTGATAGAGAAATGTACTGATTAATTGTCAACAACCACAGCATGTACATGTACGCATCGAATACCAACCCTGTGACACGCATTATTGTAAGTCACATATAGTTTCACACACAAAAACATGTACACAAACACACATTCACAGTTTGACATGGCAGAATTGTTGAAATGGGGAAAAAATGTCACTAGGAGCTTATATCTTGTGAAAATGGATTTTACTTGATCCTAAAAGGGATCTGATACAACACGGCAAATACTAACAATACAGGAGAATTTCTTCCCTCTACTAGATTCAGTCAGTTAAGCTAGACTTCAAGAATAAGGCACAGGCGAAAGTTGGGTCCCTTGATAACGTAGATTGGAACCCGCAAGGAGGAGACATAAAGGTGAGGTCCCAGATCTGCAACTTCCTTATCCTCCCTCAACAATCAGCTATCTGTCCTCCTGGAAATATTATTCATCAAGATACAGAAGAGATTCTTTAAATTTGTAATAGCTTGAATAACAAAAGGAATGTTTTTGTTCTGATTTTCTTTTAACTGAAGAATCCGGGCAAGAACATTAAGGCCCCATTCCTACTAGGATAAAATTGTTCGGATTGAGCCAAATTGATTAGCTTTGATCCAGATTTGATCCTGCTTCAAGCCGGATTGGAGCCGGATCAAGCCGGGTTGAAGCCGGATCAAAACTAATGAATTCAGCTTAATTCAGACAATTTTATCCTTGTGGGAATGGACCCTAGTACAGTATTATTTTGCAAAGACAAGAAAATGTCATCTCCCTGCACAGCTGTATTGGAGTCAATAAGAAACACAAATCTAACATTGCGGGAGTTTTTCTTCTCTGTTTACCAGATTGAGTCAGTTAAGCTAGACTTCAAGGACAAAGCTCAGGATAAAGTCGGGTCCTTAGACAATAAAGATTGGAAGCCCCCAGGAGGTGACAAGAAGGTCAAATCCTGTGAAGGTCAACTGCTTGTGACTTTGGCTAAAACTTGATTTAGCTAACATAAATTTAAAGCTCAAAGACATAATTCATAGAAAAGACTTTTAAGAGTTCCAAATTGTAAAAAAAATAAGCTTTCTATCAGCAGCTTGAAAATCAACTGTGTTTCAAAACTGTACCTCAAGGGCTGCCTGTATTAGAATGATTTAGAGTCTTTTTGTTTTGACTGTTGAGGTTTATCTTCTTTCTTAACAGATTGAGTCGAAAAAGCTAGACTTCAAGGACAAGGCTCAAGCTAAGGTGGGGTCCCTAGACAATAAGGATTGGAAGCCTCCTGGAGGGGACAAAAAGGTGAGAGGTCACAGGTCCAAAGATGAACAGTCCCCTCATGTTCACCTCCGACCAAGGCCTCCCCTTCCCTCGTTGTACCTGCCCTTCATCGTGACGTGACAAACATTTTCCTCCTCAAAAGCTGCTGCATATGAACCATTGTTGTTGTGGTTTGAACATCGTCTACGATGGATGAGTGCCTTTTTCATGCACCCATGAGTGAACACAGTCCTATTCTGAATAAACAGTCTCTGTGGTACTTCAAGTATCAAGAATTTACGGTTCTTAGTGGCAAATGTGCAGATCTTGGCACTTTGGCAACATCAAATATGTCTGTGTCCTCATCAGTGTTTGGACACAGTATCAACGATGAGCCAAAAGGCCCGGTGGGAAGTCAAGTAAAGTGCCTTTTCCAAGGGCACAACTTCAGGCACCTCGGGGTATCGAACCCGGGACCTCTTGGTTCCGAGCCGAACACTCTGATGACCATTATGCCACGGTATGCCATTTGTGTACTAGGGCAGAGCAAACTGGTTAACTCCATTACACTCTATGTGAGTCGGAAGTATTGATGAATCAGAAGTACAGCCATGGATGACCAGAAGGTTTTCGGTTCAAAGTGCTTTACCGTAGGAGTTCTGAACCCCAACAGACATGTGTGCTTCTTGTGGGGTTTACAGTCTTTTTGTACATTATCGGTCCTATTTTAAGAATTCAGTAGACTTCCATTTTCTGTGGAGTGGCTGTCAACATATGTTAAGAAAAGCCATTCTACAATCATATTAACCATGCTGCGTAAACCAGTAACCAATAGAGAATGATAGCCAAACGGCTATTCAGTATATGCTATCAAAGAATTTTCAATGCCTCTCAACAACATGGGTGGTACAACAGCCTCCTGAGTGTGCATTGGGTCAAAGCAATTTGTTTTTGACACCACACAGAATTGGTGTTTCATGCCATGTAGGTTTTAATGAAGTTGTTTATTGCAAATTCCTGCCCGAAGGCTAATTGAATACAGACGTTGACATGAAAATATTTGCTAACAGGAGCTTCTACGTGTAGGATATACCTATCGAACCTACTATCTCTACTTAAATCTAATAAAGTTGGTATACATACAGGATAAAAAAAAAAAGTAAATATGCAATATGTAAACAGGTAATAGGAACAAGGTAACTGCTATTCTAATCTATTCTATTCTATTCTATTAAACTATTCTTGTCATGCTATTAGGGGGCTTGACTTCTTCTCAGGAGGCAGTGGGAGATGTCCGACTCTTTGAAAAATAAATGGGTTGGGGGATTAATAGGGTTATGAGATATGGATTCACTTTGACTCGTGTTTCCCAGTCTTGAATATCATTATGCAAAAAGCATCTTGCCATGTCAGCACTCACAATGTTACTCACCACACAAATTTGTCATCACAATTCACTACCATACATGTACAGGTACACAACGTTTTACCACAACCATACATGTACATGTAGCTCCTACATACTGTACATAGATACAGGCATGCTATTTCAAACACATGTCAGTCATCTAACCTTAACATATAGAATTATAGATCACAGCACTTACCAGCAACATTGATCAGAATGATGCATTCTCTTGAATGTGTACATACATTGTTACAGTAGTGAAATCCATTGACCACAGCAATTACATTACATTCAGCCGATGAGTTGTCATTGTATGACATTGGATTTAAGCCTGTAGTGGATTTATACCATAATCCCAGTGTGTAAAGATTTGTCTTTGGTCACTATTATATTTGAGAGGTCATCAATTGTGGCTTCTGACAGTTTTCAAGTTTGCTTGTTTTTTCTTCTGGCCCTGTCATGCCCTTGAAAATCATGGCCAGCTTATTTCATAAGCCTCCAAGTTTATTATTTTCTGGAGAAAGTATGTCAAATATTTTTTGTCGTGCCCATGAAAGTCATGGTCAGCTAATTTCAAGAAAAGCCTATGAAAAAAATTCCTGTGACGGTTGATGAAATAGAACTATTTTGCAGATCCTTGTATGTGATCAAGGAGATTTCAAACCTCCTCGGTGTGATTGCTGTGGTCATCAACAATTTTTCACTGTCAACAACGTTTGCCATTTCAGCATGTACATATGTGTGTCCACGGTTTTTGTGCATGAAAGACATTGTGCATGGATTTCAAAACAGCAACAAGCGTTCTGACTGCATCACCCATTACAACCTGGTTTTGTTGTTTTTGGAATACCTTGTCTTTAGAGTGTAACAAAATGGTTAATGTTGAGAAAATTATTTTCCTATCTCTCAATAATATCAATGGGTGATTCAAATGTTCTTTACAGTAACTCCAAATTTCAATGGTGCCAACAGTTATTGAAACAGTTACTGTTCTAGCTTTACAGAAGATTGAAAAGTTTCCAATTTGGGAAAAGCTCTAAGAAGAGAGTTTATCAGATGAAGCTTGAAACTACAGATGACTAGAATAGGGTCATCTTCTGAGAATAATACAAAGCATTCTTAGAGAAGTAATAAATGATAGATGAGAAATTCCTGTGGAATAGAGTTGTAGGTTCGCTTCTAGAGAATACAAAGCATTCCAAAGGGAATCTTGTGTATTTTCTCTCCTCTGCCAGATTGAGACAGTAAAACTAGACTTCAAGGACAAGGCTCAGTCAAAGGTCGGGTCACTCGATTATGTAGATCACCAACCCGGAGGAGGGGACAAGAAGGTAGGGATTTCCTCATCCTTGAGGTATCCATCTGAAGACAACTTTCTTTCCCGTCTGTTCTTTTCCCAGTGGAAGAGATAGTGTGTGTGCTTTCTCACATGAAGAAAAAGAAAAAGTTTCTGACTTTTTCAATGTTGCATACAAGTAAAGACATTAACAACAACCTCAGTCTACCAGCTACTAGTATACCCGGGTTCTTACGACAAAGGTTTCTCAATGCCTAAAAAAAGTACATGTACAAATGTAACTGGCATTGAAAATATCATTGGTATCTAAGAAAATTTGGAATAATCATCTGGAAGAAATTTAAAGGATTTGTTGATATTTTCAAAGAAAATACGCATAAATGTACTCTTAGATGGCATCAATGACTACATTCCTTCTGAAATAGGGAACAATCAGTGGATACCGTAGGCAGGATAGGGTTAAAGTAGGAATAATCTGGAAAATTTTGTGTTTTTTTTTCTTCCTCTGCCAGATTGAGACAGTAAAACTAGACTTCAAGGACAAGGCTCAGTCAAAAGTCGGGTCACTCGATTATGTAGATCATCAGCCAGGAGGAGGAGACAAACAGGTAGAGTATAGCATGGTTTCCCACCTTTAGAGTGACTATCACAAAGAGACCTACTAACCTCGGTAATCTTTTGCAATTGAAAATGCCTGCCTGTGTCTGCATTTCTGGGGGTATGGCCTAATGTGGCTTCTGAGTCCCAAACTGTAAGGCCTTAATTTTATGGATGACATCCGCGCGCGCATTTTCGCCTGTTCTCAAAAAAAAAAAAGATCACATCCATCGAGCGCGAGGCTCTGGCCAGGCTCTAGGCCTGGTCGCTAGCAACAATACGGAGCCGGGCACCCAGGCTACCGAAGCTCCACGACTCAAGAACTCAGTACATACGTACAGTGCAGATTCATAAATTCCGCAAAAAGCCAGCATGTGCCGGCTTGTCGTATACGTCACTATGTACTGCCGCAAATTCACAATACGGGCTTTGTATTCCTGTGGTTTAGTAGCATTTTTATTTTTGACCGAAATTTTTTTTTATTTGCCCGTGCGCACTAGTTTGGGGGTCTTCAGAGGATGTCATCCATAAAATTAAGTCGGCGTGGCCTAAGGTGGATACACTAACCACAATTAAAAAAACCTGCTTGTACTACATTGTCATGTACTTCCAACTCTAAATTTCTGGACCCACGTTGATCATCATGAGATGTGATGACTTGAGTTGTGAGATTTTTAAAAAGTAGTATGTTTTACTGAGGCAATGGTGAACTAGGAACTTCAAGTTTCATGTATCATAATATTAAAACATGAACTTGTACAAGAAGATAGAGAAGTCATAAATGATAGATGAGAAATTCCTGTGGAATAGAGTAGGTTCATTTCTAGAGAATACAAAGCATTCCAAAGGGAATCTTGTGTATTTTCTCTCCTCTGCCAGATTGAGACAGTAAAACTAGACTTCAAGGAGAAAGCCCAGTCAAAAGTCGGGTCACTCGATTATGTAGATCACCAACCGGCCGGAGGAGACAAGAAGGTATGGTATATACATGTATCACCAGGTCTTGGTACTCAAGAATCAACTTTTTTTTTTCTAACAGAATCTGGAAGACATGTTTGATTTTATTTGTTGAGGAATGCACTTCAGATGTTCTTCAAGTAAATTTTGTCTTCCCAGTTGACTGTCAATACCAACTGTACATTGTACTTTCTGTCATAATGCAGTAACAATGCAGTCACTTATAGCAACATGTAGTGGTTGATAGGGAATGTTACAATAGCGGATTTAAAGAAGATCAGATATGGTTTCCTTACAAGTAATTGTGAAAACCAGAGTAAAAATGGCATTCAGACTGCCTGCAACCTGGCATGACCAAATATGTCATATCTTTTTCACAAAGTAATAGCATGGTACAATGATAGCCCCTTTCTAATGGTATTGCAGACACAAGACCTGGATAAGGAAGATGACTAAAAAGTACTTGATACACGTAATATCTTAATATGATGAACATGTGCACAAGCATGTTGTTTGTGGATTAACAGCATCTTCTAAGAAGCCAATCAGCTTGGAGTTTGCTAGAAGAAGAGGGGCATGAAACTTTGCTGATGGAAGAAGTGGTTCTAACAAGACTGATGTTGGTGGCATGATTGACACCTCTGTGGCATGAGACAAGGGGGAGGGGGGCAGGGTTTGTGGCACGAAGGGCATCAACGGGGGATCTTGTGTATTTTCTCTCCTCTGCCAGATTGAGACAGTAAAACTAGACTTCAAGGACAAGGCTCAGTCAAAGGTCGGGTCACTCGATTATGTAGATCACCAACCCGGAGGAGGGGACAAGAAGGTAGGGATTTCCTCATCCTTGAGGTATCCATCTGAAGACAACTTTCTTTCCCGTCTGTTCTTTTCCCAGTGGAAGAGATAGTGTGTGTGCTTTCTCACAATCATGAAGAAAAAGAAAAAGTTTCTGACTTTTTCAATGTTGCATACAAGTAAAGACATTAACAACAACCTCAGTCTACCAGCTACTAGTATACCCGGGTTCTTACGACAAAGGTTTCTCAATGCCTAAAAAAGTACATGTACAAATGTAACTGGCATTGAAAATATCAATGGTATCTAAGAAAATTTGGAATAATTATCTGGAAGAAATTTAAAGGATTTGTTGATATTTTCAGAGAAAATACGCATAAATGTACTCTTAGGCCACACCAATTTAATTTGTTGGTTCTCGGATTCGCCTCTTCATTTTTTTCTGATTTGCAAAAAAAAAAAAAAGATTCTGGTTCTGAATCAACTCAAAAATGCTCATATTTTGCCCCCAACAGTTGAGGAAATTCCTTTTCTTCCTAGTTGTTACAGTTTTTTCCATCTATCAAGGCAGTGGTTTGATTAAAAGTTCAAAATTTGTACTTTAAATTTTAACCCAGCCTTTTTTGTTGACTTCATGGCTCATATTGTAGCATTTGGGGCTATAATAGGATGCCTAGACCTGTTTATTTTTATTTTTTTCGCCCTGTCGCTTCATATTTTTTCTGAAAAAATCTGAGAAACAACAAATTAAATTGGTGTGGCCTTAGATGGCATCAATGACTACATTCCTTCTGAAATAGGCAAAAGTCAATGGATACCGTAGGCAGGATAGGGTTAAAGTAGGAATAATCTGGAAAATTTTGTGTTTTTTTCTTCTTCCTCTGCCAGATTGAGACAGTAAAACTAGACTTCAAGGACAAGGCTCAGTCAAAAGTCGGGTCACTCGATTATGTAGATCATCAGCCCGGAGGAGGAGACAAACAGGTAGAGTATAGCATGGTTTCCCACCTTTAGAGTGACTATCACAAAGAGCACTGAATACCTAATTAACCTCGGTGATCTTTTGCAATTGAAAATGCCTGCCTGTGTCTGCATTTCTGGGGGTATGGCCTCATGTGGCTTCTGAGTCCCAAACTGTAAGATGGATTCACTAACCACAATTAAAAAAACCTGCTTGTACTACGTTGTCATGTAGCCTGGATGCCATCCCCAGTAGTATATTCGCCAGCTCTATAACTGGGTCTGGACTTGATGACATATGAAACGTCTGGTGATGACGTCACGTAATGAGCTAGTCCGAGCAGCGGGTCTTCATTTGATTGGCTGAGCCTCAGAGGCGACGGCCAATGGCGCGCCTGTATTATTCAAGTGATGTTTGTTGTTTTGTAAACACAGATCTTCGTGCGAGTGTTCCTTTTCTCGGTGCGTTCTACTTTTGCGAGGTCAACATCAAGCTCCAAGAGCTGAGCGCCTTGTGCGCCAGCCATGTTATCATGAACGATCGCGGAAAGTACGTACACTGACTACGGCTATATCAAGCGCGCTTTAGCGTTCGGCGTCGGACATGTTGATGATAATAAGATAAGAATAACGATCTATCTTAACGTAGCCATTCGGACGTTCGAACGGACGCTAACGTCGCCGTTCGGACATCCGAACGGCCCTTACCTAATATGTACACACCCAAAAAAAGGCTTAGACGAGTAGGACCAATCAGCGCGCTCGTTCAAAATCTGAACGAATATTCAGACTCCAGACGCTACATATGTCATCAAGTCCAGTTATAGAGCTGGCGAATATACTACTGGGGATGGCACCCAGGCTAGTTGTCATGTACTTCCAACACTAAATTTCTGGACCCAGGTTGATCATCATGTGAGATTTTTAAAAAGTAGTATGTTTTAATGAGGCAATGGTGAACTAGGAACTTCAAGTTTCATGTATCATAATATTAAAACATGAACTTGTACAAGAAGATAAAGAAGTCATAAATGATAGATGAGAAATTCCTGTGGAATAGAGTAGGTTCATTTCTAGAGAATACAAAGCATTCCAAAGGGAATCTTGTGTATTTTCTCTCCTCTGCCAGATTGAGACAGTAAAACTAGACTTCAAGGAGAAAGCCCAGTCAAAAGTCGGGTCACTCGATTATGTAGATCACCAACCGGCCGGAGGAGACAAGAAGGTATGGTATATACATGTATCACCAGGTCTTGGTACTCAAGAATCAACTTTTTTTTCTAACAGAATCTGGAAGACATGTTTGATTTAGTTGTTGAGGAATGCAGTTCAGGTGTTCTTCAAATAAGGCCATGTTGATTTGATTATATGGATGACATCCGCGCGCGCATGAATTTTCGGCCGTTTCCAAAAAAAAAAAAGTTTTCAACTATACCATAAATTGTACAAAACAGTTGCAAAATGAGCAAATATATACCGTAGGTTGAAAATAAAAACATTGGAAAGCGATACCAACGTCGCAGATTGCCAAAATCAAACGAAAAAGACGAAAATGTAAAGAAATGAATTTAAAGACCGGATTACTCGCCAAACCATACTCTGTGTCATTTGTTCAACCTTCGAAACCACATAGATTTTATAATGAAGGCAACTTTTTTTTTTTGGCCAAACTTTTTTTTTATTCGCACGCTCGCATCAGTTTTGGGGTTCCCAGAGGATGTCATCCATATAATCAAATCAACATGGCCTAAATTTTGTCTTCCCAGTTGACTGTTAATACCAACTGTACATTGTACTTTGTCATAATGCAGTAACAATGCAGTCACTTATAGCAACATGTAGTGGTTGATAGGGAATGTTACAATAGTGGATTTAAAGAAGATCAGATATGGTTTCCTTACAAGTTATTGTGAAAACCAGAGTAAAAATGGCATTCAGACTGCCTGCAACCTGGCATGACCAAATATGTCATATCTTTTTCACAAAGTAATAGCATGGTACATTGATAGCCCCTTTCTAATGGAATTGCAGACACAAGACCTGGATAAGGAAGATGACTAAAAAAGTACTTGATACACGTAATATCTTAATATGATGAACATGTGCACAAGCATGTTGTTTGTGGATTAACAGCATCTTCTAAGAAGCCAATCAGCTTGGAGTTTGCTAGAAGAAGAGGGGCATGAAACTTTGCTGATGGAAGAAGTGGTTCTAACAAGACTGATGTTGGTGGCATGATTGACACCTCTGTGGCATGAGACAAGGGGGAGGGGGGCAGGGTTTGTGGCACGAAGGGCATCAACGGGGGATCTTGTGTATTTTCTCTCCTCTGCCAGATTGAGACAGTAAAACTAGACTTCAAGGACAAGGCTCAGTCAAAGGTCGGGTCACTCGATTATGTAGATCACCAACCCGGAGGAGGGGACAAGAAGGTAAAGTACATGGCCCTCAGCTAACCCATCTTCCAAACCACTGCCCAAACCATGCACATCCCCAGTTCACGTATCCTGGTTGTGCTGGTGTTGACTTGGTGTGTAGAAACCCCACGTATGTTTCTGTGTGATATGTGAAATTAAAAGTAATATTTATAGTGAACTGATCTCACAATCCTTTGTTTTATTACAGTATCTGGTGATATTAGACCAGAGTAATCAACCTTTGATACTAATTATTAGACCCCTTTGTTCCCTTTCCCTCAGATATATACCAATGGTACTTGCAGAAGCAATGTACCAATTTCCATCTCTGTCGTCTACTTTATACTACCTGTCAATAGATTTTGTGAGAACAGTTGGTAAAGTAAGGGACAAGTAAGAAAATATAAATCATGTAAGTTACTGTGTAATTTCTTTAACACTCCATCTGTTTCAATGTTTTACATGTGTTATGATTGACAGTATGTATTGCTGTTTTCATTTGAAGATCGAGACCCAGAAGCTTAGCTTCCGTGAAGAGGCCAAGGCCAGAACAGACACTGGGTTCGACGGCGGGAGTCCAAGACGTGAGAGCGTAGGGTCCGCTGCGTCTGGCGGAACGGGGACCTCATCTTAGTCCCGTGGCCCGGAGACCGTTTAGCGTCACGAGGCAGCGAAAAACCATAGTTAAGCATGACTTTGTCTTGTAACCCCAAGGCCTAAGTGAAGCAATGTTGTTTCCTAGTAGTACCATACTATACTGTACGTCCGCTTTCATCCTTGTGATTCCAAATACACTGTACAAGATGCAGATTATAACCAAGGAAGCATATTACAAGAAAACTGAATAGAGAGGAAAGATTTGTGCTACTGAGTTAGGTCCAGTGTAGGCAAGCATCTGTTATTGAGTGGGAGAAATAGATACTTTGAAGGTTGGATGTTTAGTAGGGATATGTCCCTATATAGTGTACTGCATTGTTAATGTTAAAACTGATGTCATAAGAAAAGGACTTTGAATTTGAAACAGGCAATGTTTATTGAATACGAAGCTGTGAACATTTCAAAGGTTGCTAAATACTGAGTGACAACAAGCACTCATATACTGAGCACTGAACGGCCCCCCACCGAGATCGTTGTACAAAGTTTGAAATAGATATAAAGTGCTTTGCATGCAGTCCTGATGACACATTTGTGGACAATTTTAGAAGCTTACCAATTAAAATGTACTAATGCCTAACGGCCCTACCATCCCCCTAAGTGACTATCGACTCTTCTCAAGATTAGATATGTTAGCTAGCTTGCAATCACTGATGTAGATAGTAGATCGTAAGTTGCACGTTAAACAATTATGCTAATACTGCTACATGTAGCTTTGCTGGAATGACATGAATGTTTTGGCTTTCATATAGAGGTGAAAAATGGTTTTGGAGCCCGTGTAAACTGCTTAAGAAAGGTTTTATGAAAAAAAATGTGAGAGTACCGGACAAAAGGGGAATGTGGAGCATTGAGTCAGTAGATTTGATTTTTTAAAGGTTGACTCTTTTTACGAGGAATGGTTTTTAAGACAGTCATATAACTTTTATTGATCTTAAACAAGAAGAAAGAATTTGGAGTGGGAATTATGAATTGTAGGGAAGAAGAGATTTTGAACAGGGCTACCAAGTTTTAATGAAATTGACACCCTAAAGTTGTGATTATAACAAAAAAATGGATGACAAAACTTGTAGGTTTGTCCAAGCAGTAAAAAAAAACATGTTTCTGGCAAACTTGAACTATATGTAAGAGATGTTTGCTTTTTGTCGGTTTGCTTCAGAATATGCAGTATACATGTGGTAATATATTAATAATTTGCTTTGTTGTAGTCAATGTGGCAAATGCATTTTAACAGATAAGAAACTTTGCAAAGGAGTCAGAATCGGAAGATAATAAGATTTAGTTGCTTAATCGCACTTCTTAAAGAGATTGCATGAAAACCTTTATTGTATGCAGTGTCGGTTAGCTTGAACATTTTGCTTCAAAATTATTTGCTCCCTATCTGTTACGAAAAGCTGAAGTCGGATGTACATAATTTGAGCTACAGCTTGAATTTAGAACAAAGCAAGGCCAGTGATGATGTGGAATAACTTTTGTGGCAACGGCTTTCAAGATAAAAACTGATTCAGTGCAATGCTTAAGAAGTCACTGATAGTTTCCAACTGACTTTTCTGCTGCAGACTGTTCTTGTATTAGCAGTTGCTGCCTTGTCTTCAACAGCACTGGCAGAAACTGAGCAAAACCATAACATTAACCAGAATCTGATCTCTTGACAGCAGTGTAATGTGTAAGTAACTAGAGCAATTCCCATACTTAAAACAGAATTACTACATGTTATGTATTTTAACTTATTTGAGATTGCGATTTATTTTTCACATTGTGCGACCATTTACTCTGAATGTGTGTTTTGTGTTATGTTACTGCCATTGAATGCACATGATAAAATTTGTAACAACAGTTTTGGATTGGGAAGAGTTTATTTTAAAGTGATCAAAATGGTAGCTTTTTTTATTTGATTGATAGCCCTCAAACGTAACACAAATTGAGTGAGTGGCGCCTGTGAATGTGTTATTATCTTGATACATGTACATCAAGAGGTTTGAGGAAAGATATGAAGAAAATGATGTCCTATGCTAGATTCTAAGCATTGGTGTTGAGTATTGATAGGCATGGTGAGGCTTAGTCAAAACCTGGTAAGTTGGCTTTTACCCCCAGAAATCAAATTATTTGTGACTGACAGTACCAACTGCAAGGCGACCCTTAGAACTTTTTGTCAATTTGGGTAGGAAAATGAAATTCCTTGGGTTACAGATAAAACCAGCTCATAGAAACCATTCTTTGAATTGAAGTGATTTTGATTTTTGGGAGAACTACTGTGAGAAAGGAACATCAGAATGGTACCGTTCACAATGCAAACCTCCAAAAGGCCACGCCAATTTGATTTGAGGTTTCAAATATTGGTTTCACTGATATTTTACAGTCTGCACACAAGTGAACACTGAATCTTAAATACATTCATTTTGATTGGAAATTAAGATATCCCACGTTTTGCTAAAATGCCAGCTGTATTTTATTCTATATCAGAACTTTCTGCTTTATCCCAACGTTTTTCAGAGAAAGTTCTGACAAACAACTTATCAGATTGAAATGGCCTAACGTTGGAGTCATCACTTTATGGACAAGTGAACTAACGCAGCATGTTTATGCCAAGTATTCTGGTTAAGACACAGCTTCTATTTTCCTTACAGTTTGCCCTCACTGCTAGATTTACTCATAAGGCTAGGTGTGCTGGGTAATCATTTGTTTTGATGTGTTTCACTGTATCAACGTTGCGCACAAGCATATATGGTTGTTTTGTTCTATTTATTTGTTTGCAGTGTCACTTATATATCTGTGAAGAGAATGGCAATTGCTCTAGGTAGACTAGTACATACTCTGTATCTCTTCGCTTGATATTGCACCAATAAAAGGCCCCCTGGCTTCTTAAGTTGGAATTGCAGCATCTTTTTTGTTGTTCCTCAATGTGACGAAAACATAGTCTTATTTCAAAAAGATTATTCTTATGAAGATGCATGACCCATTAAAGACGCAATATTCCTATTCTTTATGAAACTATTACTAGATGTATGCATGGAGGTATAATATATCTATCATATATACCTCAATGATATATGTGAGTAATAACCTCCACACAAAAATTGTCGATAAAGATGCATCTATCGCATTATCTGTAATGTCACCTACTAGCTATAGAAAATGTTCACAATTTGAAAAATAAATGGGTCAATTTATTGGAAAAATTACTAAGGTGTGTTGCTAGGCCCAAACCTGCGTCACTTCTTCCGGAGCAAAAGAGCTACTTACCATCCAAAAACCATGACCACATATACCATATCCAGATCAAGGGATATCAAAACTGTAAGTTCTGCTATAGTACAATACTAAGCCGCCAGGGGACCCAAAATCTAATCATTTCGAGCTCTCCTGAATCTACCCAACTACCAAGTATCTTGAAGATGATCCATCTAACCCTTGACACACACACACAACAGCCACGAAAAGATAACCTTGGGGAACGTAAATATGATGTCAATGTTATTTGTAAAGTTACACAACCAAGTCAAGGTATCGGTAGTCCTTCTCCAGGGCAATACTGACTGATTATGCTGTGATTATACTGACTACAGTAAGGCTTTTGATCTCGTCGACCATACTGCAGCGATGAAACACCTGCTTGAGATAGGGGTGAGGCCAGAACTGATCCCATGGCTTGCTAACTTCCACTCGGGACGTACACAGAGGACCAGGTACCACGGAGTCCTGTCCCAATCAGAGCAACTCTCATGTGGTCTGGCGCAGGGTACCAAACTGGGACCGATAGTGTTTATCGCCCATATAAACACCTCAACAGACACCATACAGTCCCCAACCTGGGCCTTCGTCGACGACTTAAACATCATCGAATCGCGACGTCTCTCCCAAACATCGAGACTACAGAAAGACCTCGACGAGCTAGCATCGTGGTCGGACAAGAACAGTATGCAGCTTAACCCCGGGAAATGCAAGGCTATGCACATTTG